AGCCCTTGCGTGCAAATTCGCATTGTTGTCAAAGAGTTAATGCGTCTCTCATCGGTGCTGCCCTCTTCAACGCTAACCTTCTCTCTACTGAATCTCTAAGGTCAGACGGCGAGAGGGTGGGCGTGCCGCGGCACGGGTACGACCGTGCTAGGCCGCTGGGGCTTACTCTTACAAGGGGGTCTTTCGGAACATGAGGCGTTTTTTAAGTGATTTTCTAAGCTTTTCTAAACTTCGTAGAGGACCATGTGTGGAACACAGATGGTGTATTTTTCCTGAACGTCCCCAGTAATGTCAAAACAGCGGAGAAGAAGTGGTCCAAGGGTCTCCCTTGTTAGCTGCGAAACGCGCACCGTCCCGCACCCTTAGGGGTCCCGCCTGTCTTTTGAATTGATAAATCTCCTTCACCTTCTTTCTCCATCGTGCAACGCTATCGTGAAATTTTCCTTTAAAGCGGGAATTGTAATGAATCTTTCGGCATGGACCCTATTACCCTAAAACAAGGAGAATCCCTGTGATCGATAGTGCCATGTACTAAGGAATAACGTTAGCAGATGTATTCTCTATCTTCTCGCTTCTAGTAACCTAGGCGTCTTAACTTAGGTAACTTCATTAAATTTCTTGTGCCTTACGAGATTGTTTGTTGGGACATTTACTTACTTCAGTGGCCTAACGTTTCAACTGGACCGTCGTATTCAGAGGCCTAAACATGTTTCGAGTTTTGGATTCACGTTCTATCTTACCAGACGCCACAACCCCTCCAGCGATTCCGTCATCAAGTCGGGAACAAGTAGAGAAGATGAGAACAACGTGAAAAATGATTTAACCGACGGTTCCACTGTATGAGCGGAAAAGACCACAGTGCCACGCTAGAGCGCTGGTCAGTTGTAAATAAGGACTACATACTGCATTGTTTCTTTGCAGTATATATCAGGTTGCTGCATTATAAATGTCGCACAGATTTAGCTTCAACCCACTCGGCTGCATTCAAAAATTCAAAGCTATTTACAGGCATGCCTCAGGATCACAGTGGTGTAGCTCTTGCACAAGAATGCGAATGTATTGGTGCGAAATGGGCCGGCAGTAAAAAAAAAAAAAGATCCGTTGAAAACGATTAGGTTAAGGGCTCACTCACCTTCTTCAACTGTGCTGTGGAATGAGAGACAAAGCGCGGAGAGTAGAGTATGAGGCGAGAGAGTGCCACAGATGAGAGGACAACAGCCTGATGGGGGAAAAATCTGCAGCTTCAGCAACTTACATTGCAAGGCCCAAGCGCACTTTTCGGTTAGTTCCCGTGCATGGAAACGCCACATTTGCCATTGTCCCCTAGAGATTTATCCTATAGACCGAAAAGGAAGCGTTCACACAACCTCTGCCTGAGCTGTGCCTCCAAGCAGTGGAAAGCGCAAATCTAAAAGCGACTGCTAGTTCACTCCAGTTCCATATCACTTTGTTTTTTTTTACATGAATTTTTTTTGAACGTTGACTAACCAAGAATTTCCTGGCGTACATGTGAATGTTCTACGAGATCCTGAAGGGATGATACCAACTTACACGGTAACGGCAGGTCTTCGTAAACAAAATCGACCAAGATTGAACCGTGCATTGGCTCGACGAGAAAGTAAAGCACTCTGACCTCCAAGAACACTTAACGGACGAAGAAAGAAAAAATTACCAGCAAAAAAGTGCGAGACCGGACTGGGGACATTTGACTTCTCCGCTAAACGGTTGTTGTCCGACTGCATCTATGTATTCCGCATCGAAGTCAACGCAGCACGACTGGAAGTAGAAGCGATTCCCTGAGAGTACAAAACAATCGCACTCTGGGTGCCCACGTATACCTGCGCATAGTTGCTCGGATTTTTCGGAAAGGACGTCGAGTCTCTGCATGAGGAATGGCGAAGCCTGACAATATGACCCATCTCTTATTCCGAGTGCCGAATTTTTACTCAGTTAGGAGACTCACGTATCACTGCATTCTTCTGCTTGTGCGGAGTCAACGGTAGGGATCATTTGTTATTAGAGGGCTCTGTTACCTATCTCGTTGTTTATTCTTAGACTTCTAGTGACTACTAGAATGCCACTATTACTTTTCTTGCCGAAATTTCAATCTCATTTGCCATCTGTGTGTATTTTATCTCGTATTCTCTGTCATTATGCCTTACGAGAGCTGTTGTAACTGTACCGCGACTCATGCTAGCAAAATGCTCCTTGATACGTCTTGCTAGAACTTTCTCTAATTCCCTTATGTACGTAGGATTACATGCCTGACATTGAATTTCCTAAATTACCCCAACTGACATCTTCCTGAAGCAGGCTCGTGTTAATAACCTCTAATTACAGCGCTAAAAACAGCGTCATCCTTATTTCCAATGCGCTATGTGATCGAGCACAGTGAACTATCAGGCCAACTCTTCTGCTCTATTCTGCACTTCTTTGAGTGTGTATTGGAAGAACGTTACAAGGCTTTATTTGATTGGAACACCATCTTCTCACTGAACATAACGATACTGAAGCTTTGTGACCGTAGTTTCTTTTTGGCGATTATATGTTATCACAGGAACAATGCTCGAGTTCGATTTAAGTGTAGGGTAGTCTTCTCTCTTTGAGCAGAACCTGAAACAAGTCCAGAGTAGACACCATGTTTTTGAGTAAAATTTTCATACTTTAAAGTCTTCCTCTAAAGGAACGATTCAATTGTATTGTACCTGTAACCGGTTAGACCTTTATCCGAACGAGTTTTGATTTCAACACCAGAATACTTGCATCCATCGACAGCAGACATGTCACGGAGTTCCACAACTTTCACTTCAACTTTTTTATCGTCTGGTGCCTTAAGATTCGATCATCATATTCACCAACTAGGTTTTTTGTTTGATTAACGAACCTTAATCCAGTAGTTACATTTCATGAAACCGTCTGGCTGGTCGTCCGCCTTACTACCATCTAATTTATCTTCAAGGGTTTTCCAATCTTCCTCTGCTTCCAACTCTCCACCACAACCTTCTGGCTAAATCAATTTCATGAAGAAATCTGTGAAGCTAATCTCAAGAATACCGTCACCCTTGTTTCGCAGTGCTGTCCACCATAACCGCTGGGACAAATGCATATGGAGCAATCGCGCGGATGAGGAAATCCATCATTCTGGCATTTTGTGGTTTCGGCGTTACATGCGCCTTGAATGAATCACTATCATTTATGAGCCCTTCTTGTTAATCCACACATATTATTCTTATTATGCCTACCAATACAATTATAAAGCTTGTTCATCATAAGCAGATCGTAGAACGAAATGATATCGGATCCTAGGGTCTCCGTATAGTCTTTATCCTTAGCTAACATAACAGGTATTTTTTTGTCTGGGAATATACTGCAAATATGATTTCGTTATCTTACATTCTACAGATATTTCTTCATAAGAGTTGTACCTTGCGGATCCATAGTGCATTATGCTACCGTAGTCATACGGTAAATCATAGTTATTATTGGTCTCCGGTGTCTGCGGTTCGAACTGCTCTTTCCAGTAATGCTGAAATTGTTCACCGAATTATAACATTATTGAAGATAGCTTCGCTACCGATAACATAACATATCATAACACCTACTCCGATTACATTGGTGTCGACTGTAATAAACTGGTCACGGTCGTGCCTCGTATGCGTATGAAAGAATCCTAGGGCATGTCCAATTTCATGAGCTGCGTGTCCGATCTAAAGCAAAAAAAAACATGAAAAACACATGGGTAGCATTCGAGCGATTTAAAGACAACCGTTATGATTCCTCCCTCGTTTTGTTTAACTCATATTTTTAAGAAAGTGAATTTAAACACATACCGTTCCACAGCCTTCGGCGAGTGAGAGGTGTTGTGGCCCTGCGCTCACGTACCTACCGAGCCGCGAGCTACATCCGTCTCCCTTGATCACAAGGAGATAGTGTTCGGCTGAAGTACGAACATTAAGCCAAACCGTGCTAGCTCATCTATCTTTTTGAATTTTCTGTGTTGATTACCCAACCATGCTCTGAATGATCCAACTGCATGTGTCTAGGTTGGATAATCATTTAGCCGTTTGGCAAAGAGAGAGTGTTAGTGATGAAGAGGGCAACATTGATAAGATTCGCATGAATGCAGTGGAAAACAACGTGCAAAAAAGTCCCATTTCTGGGGATCTGTGCCGTTTTCATGTTTTTTCTCCACCCCTGTACCAATAATCATTTCTAGTCTCATTTCTGATGTGCTGCTTTTTCATCGCAAACTCTGCCTTCAAACAGTAATGAAAAGGCCATTTCATGCTATTTGCGATGACCATGATGCTGAGCTTACGATCGCATCCAGCGAAACGTCAGCAAACATCAAGATGCACTTCTTCACCAAACTGCGCAGACGGGACGCTACGTTCTAAGAGGTCGTAGAGGTCTAAGAGGTGTTTGTTATAAATAGTATATCTTAAGGGGTCATATTTGTTGCTGGAAAAGAGGGGTGTAAGCACTGGGTTAAAGGGAAATGGGGAGCATGCTAACTAAATGATATGACATGAGACTTTAAAAAATTTAAACGTAACTATGTTTGTAGGCATAGGCTTTCATCGAACATCTCTGGGATTTGATTGGCGGTTTTGCATGCTAGCGCAAAAGGAGTTAGGCATCAAAGTGCATGTGCTGCTCCTAATCAGAGATGAATACGCGTTGTACCCGAACAGGAATTGTTGAGGCCGCACGCTTGGAAAAATTTTTTGACCAAAAAAATTTCTTCGAAAAATTGGTGTTTTGGGAAGAATATGCAGAGCAAATGTGGAATGAAATGGAAAGATCGACTTTCCGATGCTCGAAGGGATCTCCCGCAAAATCATCTTGAGTAGGTAATGTTTTGAAAGAGATTCAATACTAAAGCGATAATATAATATAATATTTTCAAAGTACAAGGCACTTCTGACATCTGGCATTCCGGATTAGGATAAAGGATCCATGGCTCGCTACCCAATTAATTGAGTTCATTGCGCACAGGAATCGCAGTCCATTTTATTTCATGGAGCAATATGGTCTAGAAATTTTTATAAGAAGGTTTGAAAATGCCCCCTGTTTCAAAAGTATTGTGGCATCTTGAGCAAGAGGATTTGAAAGTAAAATTTCGTCTTCCTCATATCTCACTTGAGATTCTATTGGCATGATTGGTCAAAACACGTTACTCCTGTAGTGGATCTGGATGATTTTAACCCTTTGACGACCGTGTGGCCCGCCGGTGGGCCACACTTTCGCTCGGTGGCGACACGTTTTTAGGGGTTTATTTTGGCATTTTTATGTTTCAAAACTACACAAATACATTATCGAATTCGCGGAATAATGCGCTAATTACTAATAGTGAAATTGTTGGAGAGTTAATGATTATTGATGAAAAAATTTAGAAAGAAGTGAAGTGACGCATTCATAACGGCGGTCGTCAAAGGGTTAATGAAATTTTTCTGTTGAAGTAATGTGGTGGTTTCCGGTCACGGACACCTCGTGGCCTAAAATCCACTCAAGCTACAGCGAATATAAAACCGGAACGCATGGATGAAGAAAAGAGAAACGCCTACCAATGTCATACAAGACAATAGGAAAGGATGGCGTTTTGGAGCAAAAAAGCGCAAAGAACGGCCTGCTCTTAGCAATCAACCAGAAAAAAAGCAAAATTGGAGAAGAAAAGGACAATCTTTTTGAGCAATCTAATAGCGGGTTGTTTAGAGGTCATGACAAATTATCCACATGGTACTTCAATAATCCTCTCTTAGTGAAAACTGAGTTGGAGCTAATTGCCGGTCTGGCTGACCTTCGCCGACTC